GTGTTAAAGTTACCCAACTTCTTAGAGTTTCCAAGTTACATTCTGGTGGCACTGGAGAAACACAAACATCCAGAGTTGCCAAAAAATAGAGGATTAGTGAGTAGTAGACAACATATATGCATATATGCTTCAATACAACAACAACCAACACTGCTTGCAGAAACAATGCCTCTGTTTTTTGCTAAAATACAAAACTGAAAAAAGACTCACTTAATTTTATATGCCATTATTACACATCGAATTAATCTTGGTGTTTAATGAAAACATTTTAGTTGGCGTCTCTAGTATGAATATTGCCATTTTACAATATTTTCAACAGATCTAGAAATTTGTAGACCAATTAAAAAATTTGACAATGAAAAAGTAGCTAGATCCACATAAAAAGACTAAGATGGTATTGTTCACCGTGCAGCAGCTTGAAAACAATCAACCTAGAGATGATTTTCTCAAATTTCTAGAACTGTATAATACTTATCTTGGAGGCATATTTACTTGTGGAGTTAATTTTTTGCCTCTTGCAGCATTGCACTAAGCCTGGTGGATGGTAAAAGCATTAAACACTTTCAGGATCTGGATGTTTAGAGGACAATTTAAATTAACTAAACATGTGTTCAGTCTGTAATTTTGCTCTATGTGTCTACATCAAAGCATGGTTCACAGCTCCTCTTGCTGCATATGTACCTAATTATGATTTTAAATTATCAAAAAGTCTAGTTTTCTATTAGAAAGAAAATCCTTCCATTTCCAAAGCAGCCAACAGTAAATTTGCTTACTATATGTGGTATTATTAGTAAACAACTTGTGGCTTTGGCATTTTTTGATTCACTTGATTCACTTAGACTTTTTTTTTTAGAAATTTTGTGATTTTGAAATAGAGTTGTTTTCAACCATTGCTTAATTAATATTTTACTTTTCAAAACGTTTTACTTTTAAAATATTGAAAAATTACAACATTATCCATTTACTTTCTTGAAATCATTAAAGTTAAAATCTACAACAGAAAGTATTTACAAACTCCTAAATTGAGATATTTTTATATTTTTTTGCTTCTTGAAAAAAATAATTTAAAAAACCTTACTAATTGTTTAATGCTATTTTATTATTTTTGTAATGATGTTTGTCAGTTGTTTAAAAATGCTCTAAAAATTTGCTAAAATCTTCAAAAAAGGTCCCAATTAAAATATTCCAAAAAGTAAGGTAAAGTGGTGTAACATTGACAAGTCTTTAGAAAATATATTATTTCTCATAATGTGACAAAACTATTTTGTTGTGAAATATTTTAAAAGTTTATACTGCTGCTTAAATTAGTTTTATTTATGCCCACAATAACAACAACCACCATATTGTGTTGACAACCACCATATTGTGTTGTTATTTGTACTTATTATTATGCAGACAAAATTAGTTACATTTGTTCATTCAACATCTGGCTACAACATCTGTTAAAATAATTTAATCAATAGTCAATGGGTGACAGGTAAAAACATTTAAAGTTACCTTACCAATTAAAATAAGCACAAATACTAATCATCTTTTAAACACACAAAATTGTAGTTATAAAGTTACCGTATTATTATTTAAAGACCATATAATAAAATTTCAATATGATGGATTTGGCAAACATAACTAAGATTTTTAAATCACATCTCCTGCTATTAACTTCTGTTGAACTTATATGTTTAGAAGGGGCTGGAACAGGGTTGTAAAAAGCTCTGTATTTATCTAGAGCTAGGACCCCAGTCACTAAATACATCACACACAGCTACATTTAAAGATATTTATATATACTAGCAGTCAGGACTTTAGAAAGCAGTAAAAAAAATCTTTAAAATCTTTGCTTTGAGTTAATGAGTTTTACTTATTGTAAAACTCATTAACTCAAAGCAAACATTTTATAAAAAACGACTTATTAATTTTTTTCTTTATTAAAATTTAATCAAATTTCTATGAGGTTTTTATAAACAATTTTTTTCTGAATATATGCAGCTTATGACGACCCTTGCCCCTTTTATTAATTTCGAAGAAAATAAAAGTTTGCAAGTAAAATATTTTATTCCTTTAAAAACGAAATTGTCTCTTTAATGCAGGTTTTTTTGTTTTTTTTTAATGCACAGACTTAACTAATTACATAAACACATTGATAACACAAGCATTTTTAGCATAAATGACATAAATATTAGAAATACACAAAAAATTTCCCTAATGACCGACAAATCTTTTCTTCCCGATAATTAAGCATACCATCCCCCCATAATTATATATATATATATATATATATATATATATATATATATATATATATATATATATATATATATATATATATATATATATATATATATATATATACATATATATATATATAAATATATATACACATATAAATATATATGTATGTATATATATATATATATATATATATATATATATATATATATATATATATATATATATATATATATATATATATATATATATATATATATAAATATATCGGTACCTCGGAGGGATACAACACTATGTCCATTTTTTTCCATATTGACTTTATTACAGAGTTAAAATCAGCTTTTCTCATATTTCTTAGAGGAATAGAGCACTATGTCCAAAACCAGTTAGAACCGGATATAGCATGTTTTAAAACAACACCAAGTCCACTTTCATTTAGAGGAAAAAAGTTTAAAACTCCTCTCCTGTAAAGTTGTGAAAATGGACATAGTGTTGTATCCCTCCGAGGTACAGATATATATATATACACACACACACACACACCCACACATATATATATATATATATATATATATATATATATATATATATATATATATATATATACCTATAAGTGATTTTTTGTTGATCTTTAGGTTTTTTTCCAGTCATACAACAAACTTTATAATTTTTGCCTCATTTTGTTATCAAATAATGTTTTTTTTTTTCAAAATACTGTTACTGGAGCCTTGGATTAAACAAATCCAAATCCAAAATGGTTTTCTTGAAAAATTGGTTAAAGGACTTTTGATCTTTTGTTGTAAACTAAACAAAACATTTCAATGTGATTGAAAAATATGTATAAACATTTTGTGTGTGGTTATTTTAGGTGCTCCAAGAAGACCTAATGGTCGCATCAAAGAGCACTGCAGAAGACCATTTAACTTGGAAGTTTACACTTTCTTTATGTCAAAAAAAAAAGCCTAGAGTAGGCATCAAACCACAGATCAGTGAAGGATCCAGCTTTTTTTGGTGTTTAAGATAGATAAAAGACATGGCGCAAACTCAAAACATTTGTATGTTTATACTTATGTCAAATAATGATGCTTTGCAAAATATTGCATCGATTGAAGGCTGGAAACTAAAAAAGGCCTAAAACCCAAACGTGAGAGAAAATAGTTGGTCAAATAATTTTTTTTGAAATTCTTAACTTTATTTATATTCATTGATAAATTTTAAGTTTCATAGTAATATCTCTAAGAGTTCATAAATTATAACCACATAAAGTGTAAACCCCCATCAATTTGAGGGGGTTACAAATTTTATAAAGTCATAATTTTGAACGCTTAGAGATTGTAAAACAATAGTTAAAATTTATAGATGAATATAAATTTAGTTAAAAATAGCAAAAAAAATTTTTTATCAACTTGTTGCTTTCACATTTGGAGCAGGAGGAGGAGGGGGTGGAGGAGAATAAAATTTTAGGGCTTTTATAGTTTCCAGCTATCAAAGTCCTATAATTTTTATTTAATTAGCCAACAATCAGCGCAATATTTTGCAAAGCATCATTCTTTGACATATAAAGTTTAAACATACAAATGTTTAAATTTTGCTCCATGTTAGCTATCTCAAACACCAAAAAATGCTGGATCCGTTACTTCCACAGATCTCTTGTTTCTGAAGCAAATTTACTTCAGAATTCAGCGTTTAAACGCTGCAAATGTGCAATAAATATTTATATACATATAAGTTTTCAGCATTAGACAAATATCTCAAGAAAATATGTAAAAAAATCATTTTTAAATTTAATTATAAGGTTCAGAGTTTGCTGTATTCAGAGATAGATAACGGATCAAAATCAATTTATTAGAACCATTCAATAACCAGAAAGCGAGAAAGCATTCGCCATAGCTAGCTCCTTGAATCCACTCTTTCTTTTTTTAATGTTTTTTTTTTTTTAATGAACTGTATGAGATATAAAGCATCTAACAAATTTCAAATTGCTGTGTATTGGGCATCAACGTTAACATGTTTAAAAACCACATTTTTAATTTCATAACAATTTTGTGCATTTACCACCAGTTAACAAAAATAATAGTAATGAAAATGCGCACAATTGGTATAGATAAAAAACCTTCCATTATTTGTAATGTTGTTATATAATTAATGATTTGTAAATTTCTATTCGTGCCGAGTGTTTGAAAATGCCTGTAAAAACTCAAAAATTTTAAAAGAGTGGTCAAGTATAAATAGTAATCTAAATTAAAAAATTTCATTAAGAAAACAATACCTTGGGTATATTTTACGACACTCCGCATATTAAAATTTGTTCATGAAGGTCAAAATGGGATGGGCTAATATATATATATATATATATATATATATATATATATATATATATATATATATATATATATATATATATATATATTTTAAGCAAAAAAGAGTATATAAATTTATCTCAGATATATTAATTTTCATAACTTTTTAAATTAGACAATATTCTAAAATTAGATAAAATTCTACAATTAATTACTTTTTAGTAATTAATTGTAGAATTGAACAGTAGAAATTGTAATTAACTTTTAGATTATTATTTGCGTGTGTATAATTCTAAAAATTCATACGAAAGTCGTATGTTTAATTACGAACAAAATGTAACAACATTTACTCCATAATTTTATAACAAGGTTATATAACATACAAACAAAATAAAATATACTTTTCATATCATTTACAATTTCACCAAAAAATCTAGAAATATATTTCTAAATATTGGAATTATTTTTACTTACGGCAGTATGGAATTAAGGTACCATTTTCAATAGAAATCCTCAAGTTAGCACGTTTTTTCTCACAGTATCTCTTAAAGGTTTCTATAGATATGCATTCTGCAACAGAACTCCATTTTAATGAAGAAAGGCATGTTGTAGTATTCTTACCCCACAAATAGTAGCCTGATTCACAAGTTATGTGCAAAGTAAGGCCAACAGATCGTTTTGCATAACTTTCTGTAGCATTTCCATTAGTTATTGAAAAATAAGGGCATATCTTTCCTATTTAATATACTAAATGTATAATATTTAATATATTATGTATATATTTGTAATATATATTTGTAATATATATATATATATATATATATATATATATATATATATATATATATATATATATATATATATATATATATATATATATATATATACACATATATATGTATATACAGTGCTCGAAGTGAGGCGGGATGTGGCAAGATGCCATATTGTTACCTTTTTATAAAGTATATACCACCCCGCCATCTTTTTGTAAATCTCTATATATAACAGTGATTAGGCAGGATTGTATTTTTAATTTACCGAATACCATCCCGTTACTTTTTTTTCTCCACTTTAAGCACTGTGTATATATATACATATACATGTATAACAACTAATTTTTGTAAAAACAACAAGACCTTAAACTATTTTTTATGATTGTTTTAAAAAACAAAGCCTTAAACTTTTTTTTGAAAGCAGTTCATACCTTGACACATAGGCCATTCTCTTGTCCAAACACCATTATCGCCACATGAAGATACCATAACAGATAATCCATTAGTATTTAACAAAGTCATACCTTTTGGACAACGGAATTCTATTGTAAATTGGTGAGGATATATTAATCTGTGATCGGAATACAGTGCATGAATTTCATTTTCTGAAGGCTTTAATCTTTGATTACTAGGATTAATCATGTACTCATTTTCGCATGTAACATTTTCATTTACACCTGAAAAAAAACACATGATTTTAGATGTTATTATCTTTACAACTAACAAATCCTTATTACATTTTTTAATAAATATTAACCTCTACAAGAAGGCCATGGATGACTCCACAATCCTTCTATTAAACATACAGTATATATTGCTTCTCCATAGAACTGCAAACTAGCAGCACTTAAATGATAACCATGAGGACATCTAAATGTAACTCTCTCTTCATACTCATATTTTTCTTTTTTGTTTTCATAGATAGGTAGTGGACCTATAAGTGTTTTGTTTAATCTTTGCAGCTCTGCATATGAATTTTTACATTTGTAAAATTGTGCAACTAGAAAAAAAAATGTGTTAGTAGAAACACCTATATCTATGACAAACATTTATAACAGATATTTATATTTTCATTGTATTTTAAGACTTATAGACAACCCTATTATAAGACTAAATTTTAAGTAAAATATAAGAGTTATAATGTATAAAAATGTATTCAAAATATATAAAATTAAAAATTTTTAAAATATTGTATTAACTTATAGTTTATCATTGAGGTTAATATTTACTGTTTGCTGATCTCTAACATCTCTCTTGGTCATCATAAAGGTTTATACCTATATATTCATGATATCTTGTTTTCTGATCTCTAATAACTCTTTTGGTCGTCATCAAGGTTTATACCAATATATTCATGATATCCTGTTTGTTGATCTTTAACAACTCTCTTACTACTCATTCCAATTTATTTGAGGTATATCATCTTTTTATGATTTAATAATAATATGATTTTGATAATATACAATACTTTTTGTTATCATTGGTAACAAAAAATATTGCATATCATCAAAATCATATTATTATTTCTTTTTGTTATTGTTTTTGTTTATTTAAAGGTATTAATATTTTGTTTTGATACTTTAGTAATTTTTATAAGTCATAAACAATGTCAACAAAAACTTGTATTAAAAATTGAATCTATTATTACAGTTATTAAATATTACAAATTTTGCAGACTTAATAAAATATAAAAAGATGCTTTTTGAGCTTATTTTTACAGTGAACTGGGTTAAAGTTAGGATCAGAAGCTCCTCAATAAAAAATCTAGCACATGGAAAGATAAAATATTTTATCACTCAGCTTGAAAATTTGTGAAAAGTAATCAAGTCAATGATGGTAAGGCAGAGTAAAGAGCAACTTTAAACAAAGATTATAATAAGCTTATGACACAGAATGCATCTGAGCATAAAACAAGTGTGTAACAATATGGTTGTCCAATGGTATGAGACAACTTTCCAGATAACCCGAATCATTTACCTTCTCTACTGAGAAGTTTCTGATCCTAGTCAGTGCTCAGTTTCTCCACACTCACCCTTAGGTGCATCTGATCATAGTTTGGTCTCTCTAAAACTATTATCTCATTCTTCTTTATCATCAGAATGCCCCTATCATCGTACATCTTACAACCTGTACAACATACCTGTTATAGTCTTGCAGAAGTGTTCTCCGGAGCTGTTGTCTATCCTTTCAAAACTATTTAACAAGTGCTTATCTGAGTCTGGTTTTCCAGCCTGCTGTTATCTGTTATCCCTATTTTTAAAAACTCTGGAGAGCGATCCAATTCGTCTAACTACCGTCCCATTAGTCTTCTTCCTATCATAAGCAAGGTTTTTGAATCTTTAATTAACAAACACTTAATCTCTCATCTCGAATCTCATAACCTACTTTCTGATCATCAATATGGATTTCGATCTTCTCGTTCTACGGCTGATTTGCTAACAGTAACAACCGATAGGTTTTATCGTGCATTAGATAAAGGTGGAGAGGTTAAGGCCATTGCTCTTGACATTTCTAAAGCCTTTGATAAAGTTTGGCATGCTGGTCTTCTCCATAAGCTTTCTTCTTACGGTGTATCTGGAAACATCTTTAAGATTATTGAATCCTTTCTTTCCAATCGTAGTATAAAAGTTGCCCTTGATGGACAGCACTCTTCTTCATATTCTGTAACCTCAGGGGTTCCTCAAGGTTCAATCCTTGGCCCTATACTCTTTTTAATATACATTAACGATCTTCCAGATATTCTCACATCTAAGGTGGCATTATTCGTTGATGCTACCATTTATTCTTGTCATGATAAGAAGCCAACTCCCTCTGATTGCTTGCAGGGGGCATTTGAGCTTGAAAAGTATCTCACTTTTGCTACAGCATGGGGCTCACAGTGGCTGGTGAACTTTAATTTAGATAAAACTCAATTTTTTTCAGCAAATCATTATTGTAATGGTTTAGACTTTCCTATATTTATGAACGGTGGTGTGCTCGATGAGTCATCTACCCTTCATCTTCTAGGATTAACTCTCACTTCTGATCTTTCTTGGAAACCTTATATCAAGTCCATTGCAAAATTAGCATCTGCTAAAGTTGCATCTCTTTATCGAGCTTGACACTTTCTTACTCTGGATTCTATTCTCTATCTCTATAAATCTCAAATCTGGCCTTGTATGGAATACTGTTGCCATATCTGGGGCGGATCTTCTAATGATGCCCTTTCTCTTTTAGAAAAGGTGCAAAAACGCATTGTAAACATAGTTGGACCTGCTCTTGCAGCCAATCTTCAACCTCTGTCACATCGTCGTAATGTTATTTCTCTTTCTCTTTTCTACAAATACTATAATGGGCACTGCTCTAAAGAGCTAGTGTCTCTTGTGCCATCTACTAAAATTCATTCTTGTGTTACTCGTCATTCAATTAAGTCTCATTCTTTTTCTGTTACTGTTCCTAAGTGCTCCAAAAACTCTTATTCGTCTAGTTTTTTTCCTCGAACATCAGTTCTTTGGAATTCGCTTCCATCATCTTGCTTTCCTGATTCATATAATTTGCAATCTTTTAAGTCGTCTGTCAAGTGTTATCTTACTCAACAATCTTCATCTTTTCTCTTCCAGTAACTTCCAACACTAATTAGTGGTTGCTTGCAGCCTTGTTGGAAGCAAAGATGTTAAAAAAAAAAAAAAAAAACAACTCATTTTTGCTGAGCAGTAATGTACCCAGATGTAATTCTATACCGCTTGACCGGTATAAGCGTCCAAATTAATGTGCTCAAATAAAAAATCCATAACTTAGAAATTTCAATATTAATACAGTCCAACATTAGTAAACACGTAAAAAAAATTGTCATTTTTGTTAAACGTGGTTTAACAAAAATTGTCATTTACGTGTTTACTAATGTTGGACTGTATTAATATTGAAATTTCTAAGTTATGGATTTTTTATTTGAGCACATTAATTTGGACGCTTATACCGGTCAAGCGGTATAGAATTACATCTGGGTACATTACTGCTCAGCAAAAATGAGTTTTTTTTTTTTTTTTTTAACAAAAAAAAAAAAAAAAAACAACTCATTTTTTCGTTTAACAAAAATTGTCTCCTGACGTATGGCTATAATTATTGTATACTATATACTATAGTTGTAAAACCTATAGTATACTATATACTATAGGTTTTACAACTATAGTATATAGTATACAATAATTATAGCCATACCTCAGGAGGCACTTTTTTTTGTGTATTGCGTATTAAGTAATATAATCATATCATATTTATTATGCAACTCAACACACACATTTTTTTAAATATAATACTCAGAATGCAACTTATTGTACCTATTTTTTGTTAAGTAGAATACTCAATACGCAACTCATTTTACATATTATTTTTGAGTATTTTGCATAAAAAATTTTTTTTGAGTGTAAAATTTAAATTCTATGCTTTGGTAAAACTGATCAAAGACTTCATTGCCAGGCACGCTTTTTTGAGTCAAACTATTTTTAGCATTTGCAGTCAGATTATTTTTTTTATATTTTTTATGAAATTCAATCGCCAAGTTTACTAATGAGCTTAGGCCTAAATTGACTGTGGCCTTGGCTATTGGTGTTTGATACCAGAGGTAAAGTTTAGAAACATTTAAAACTGCAGCAGCCGCATAAACAGCAGAGTTGCGCTCATGATCAAACTGTGTTTTACATTTTTTATTAACAGTTCGCAAAATTTTTTCTTTTATTATTCATATTGCATTCCTAACAAAAGTAAATTTGGTACCAAATCACCGATAGGTATGTGACTTCTCTGATTCAAAAGTGTAAATCTATATGCTAAGAGCATCAAAGATAAATAGAATTCAATCACTGCTTCAGTAACTGAACATTTTACGGTTTCAGAACAATTTTTTTGATATGCTTTAAAAAAAAAATCAACCTTGAAATATCTTGATGACCAATGAGTTAAATTTTCGTTTCTTAATCTTTGTTTTTTTTGTTAAAACATTCGTGCAATTTTAATTGTCTGATGAGTCTGTTTAGCAAATGAACAAAGTAATGACAAAACAGTTTTCAACCGTTTGCATGACCTCGCAGTATTACGTATAGAAATATTTAACATGTGGTTTGCGCATCAAATTCTAATTGATCGATAATACCATGATCCCCAAATTCATAATTTTCAGCATCATCAACTCTGGTAGCATCAACTTCAGCGTCAATCTCATTACATAACTTGCTTAACTTAATATCATTTTGAATTGAATTTACTTCCTCAGTAGGCAATTTGTTTATTTCAGGATCAATTTTATTTTCAGGTGAAGCTTTCAGTTCCTGGTCATTCTCATCACTATCATCATTTTGAAACAAGTCTTCCCAAAAATCCTCTTCAATTCAATTACTGATTTCTAAGTCAGAACTTAGCATTTGAGGAAAAGCTCTAAAAAAAGCTTTACCACTATCGCTCACATAACCATCAACTTTAGATTTATCAAAATCATATTGATTTAATATTTGTTCTGAAATTAATATAGTATTTTCAGCATTGTGTGAGCCATTTATTCGTTGAAGACCAAGAACTATTAGCTTTTTACTGAAATCAGCAAAAGTAACTTGGCAGCATAATGCAAAAAAATCAGCCATTTGATGGCTATCCAAGATGTCAGCTATTAATGTAACAGTTTTGGCTTTTTTAAGATCGTTCATGATTGGTTTTTTTTTATCTTTTTAACTACCTTAAGAATTATATTATAGACAAAAAACTTTTCACATGGTAAAGTCTTTTTAGATGCATGTTACCCAGCTCTTGGGTTGCCATATTGGATGATACTACATATTTAGTTAGATCCATGATATCATCTTCGTTATCAAGACTTACATCATCATTAGCCTTTTTCCAAGCCATAAAATCTTCTTTGCCGTTACATTGTGTTGAATTAAAATGCTTAAAAAAATTACCACTTTTACCAAGTGGCTCATTTAATACTTTATAGCAATAAATGCAAGTAAACTGTAGTTTTTCTACCTTTCCAAGCTTAGAATCGATTTCTGTTAGGCAATGAAAAAATTTCAAAACTGAACTATAAGTTTTTTCAGTGTTACCAAATTTGAAAATTTTACGCAGAAACTTGTTGCTTTTTAAGTTGTTCAATTTCATCAATCACTTGAGCATATAGTTTAAAACTTAAATTTGTTGATGAAGAATTGCTTAAGCTTTTGCTGCAAAAGAGTTGGTCTTGAATTTTTGAAATTGACAAATCACTTAAGGTGCTATCACATCTATTAGAGATTGTTTATTTACAGGTAGATTTCCTTTACCTCTTCATTATATATATATATATATATATATATATATATATATATATATATATATATATATATATATATATATATATATATATTATTTCTAGAACTACTTACAAAAGTGTTTAAACCTTTTTTCCTTTTGGCGTATCTTTCAGACATATCAAAGCAAAAAATTTAAAATAATACTTCATATTAAACATTCAAACAATATCATTGCAAAAAACTAGCTTAAATTATATCGTATATATAAAATGAAGCTAAGATTCAAATGGTTTATTATAATCATTAACCATTAATTAATCATTATTTTAATGTTGATTAATCATTAATTAATAAAATATTAAATCAAAATTACATTATTTGTTTATTATAAAAAGAAAGATAATTATTTACATCTAATTAGCATTTTTTTTTCCAACTATTTTGGCTAATATACATTTAAAGTCTTGTAAAATAAAAAAAAAAAAAAAAATCTTTTTAAAATAAAATTACATATTTTTACGCAAAATTACAAAATGTAATTTAATTTAAACACATCAATCCATTGTTTTAATTATGAGGCTTTACATGCTTGCTAACAGCTTAAAAAACGCTATTCAAAATAAATTACTTTAAAGGCAAATTTCTATTTACACTATCACACTCAAAAAAACTGCGTATTTTTAAGCAAAATACTCAAAAATAATATGTAAGGTGAGTTGGGTGTTGAGTATTCTACTTAACAAAACTAGGTATGATAAGTTGCGTACTAAGTATTATATTCAAAAAAATGTGTGTGTTGAGTTGCGTAATGAGTATGATGTGTGTATTATATTCAATACGTAATACGCAAAAAAAATAATGCGTTCTGACGTATGATTATAGCATTAACTTTATCAACGTTGTTACTTATACTTTTTATACAACTATAGAACTTAACTTACATGAATTTAAGCTTAGCATATATACACCACATTAAGATTTTTAAAAAATAATTATAACAAAAATTACTAATGAAATCTAAATTTGTTATTTGAAAAAGATTATATTTATTAAACTATTTTATAAATAACAATTTTTTGTTTATTTTATCAAAATTTAGTTTTTTGTTGTTATTTTTTTACATATTAAATGAACTATAATTTTAGTTTATTTTTTAGTTTCATGCAAGGTTATAAATAAAGACATTCTTCTTCAAAAAATATAACGTTTTAACTACTACTTTTAATCCAAATATAACATTTTAAATAGAGTTTAAGTTATTTGAAAGAACTACAAAAGTGCATTAATCAGACCAGTATTTAAAAAAAATAAATAAAAATCAAATATTTACCTTCAAGAAAAAAAAAAGGTTTTAAAATTATAAAATTTTTTGCTAATATCGCAATGAATAATTTTCTGGAAAGTTTAATTAACATGAAACTAATTTTTTAAGGATTATTAATGATATAAACACAACTTGCTTTTTTGAAGTTGATTTTATATTAAAAACACACTATTTTGCTAAAATAATAACTAATAAATGTATTAAATTAGAATATATATATTTTTGGCATAAATTATGTCTTAAAAATGGTAAACTAGGTGTGTTCTAAAACATGAACATTACTTTTAACATCAATAAACTAAATGTTATCTAATACAAGAAAATATTAGTTTTTTAATAACATAAAACAGCATGAAATGCAATCAAATTATAAACAAATTTTTATAAATATAAAGTTAACTTACAAGCAGTATAAAAAAAGCATTGAATAATAACTTGAAATTCTGGTGTCATAACCTACCTAACTAAAAAAATTTGAATGAAAAAAATAAAAAAAATTTATGTGTGTATATATATATATATATAAATATATATATATATATATATATATATATATATATATATATATATATACAAATATATATATACACATATATATACATACATACACATATGCATATACACACATATGTATATATATATATATATATATATATATATATATATATATATATATATATATATATATATATATATATATATATATATATATACATATATATACATACATATATATATATATATGTGTATATATATATACATATATATAAAAATATATATACATATATATATATATATATATATATATATATATATATATATATTTGTATATATATATGCATATATATATACATATATATGCATATATATATACATATATATATATATATATATATATATATATATATATATATATATATGTATGTATGTATATATTATATATATATATATATATATATATATATATATATATATATATATATATATATATATATATATATATATATATATATATATATATATATATATATATATATAGAGAGATCATATTGTGGGGTTTCAGTAAATACATCAACTGACAATCTAGGTAGCACATGCTAGGGAGTGCCACTAGATCAGCTGACTGGTTTGGGTCAGGGAAGCATTCATATTTTTTATTAATTGTTTTTTTTTTTTCTTTTTCTGAAAAATTAAACAGGGCCTTACCCCAGTTTGAAAGTTTCGAAATGGGGGAAGGGGGAAGGGCACAATTGCTAATTTTTGAAAAAAGCCTACTATATCTTAAAATTTCTAAAAAAAACAAAAAAAAAGTATGTGTGTTGTAGTAAGTAAAAGTGACACATTTTGTTGTCAAAAGAACCATTTTTTGAATCTAATAAAATTTAAAAGTAAGCACAAAAAACTTGACACTCAAATTAATATTAATTTAAATGGGAAAATATTTTAATGTAAGAGCTTTTATCTACAAGTAAGATACATATATTGATGAGAATTTAATAAGGATCAATTGCTATATTATGCAAAAGCAAAATATAATATATAATGCATAATAAGCAAAACATGAATAATATAATACAACAACCATCAATTACCCTTTACTAAATGGTGGATCTGTTTATCAACCTAGTTTAGTAAATTTTACTAAACTAGGTTGATAACCTAGTTTAGTAAAAAGGCGAAGAAAGAAAAATAAATTTTTTATAAATAATAAGTAAAATTGATTTTAAGAATACGAGTTTCTTAGTTTCTTATAATTTTGTCAGAGAAAGTTATTTGGATTTTATTGCTCAGTAAATGTTTAGATTTTTATTTTGACGGTCCTGAGCAGAACAAATTAATTTATATACACTTTAAAATTTGTTTTTATTTCCAGCGTTTTGTTAAAAATTTTTGAGAAACAAGTTAAACTATTAAATATTATCCCCATTATAATAGTCATAGTAAAAGGACTTCATTGAATGACGAGTAACATGAGAATGAATTTTATTAAATGGCATAAGAGACACTAGCTCTGTAGAGCTAGTGTCTCGTGACATTATAGTATTTGTTTACTGCCCATTATAGTATTTATAGATATGAGAAAAAGAAGCAATACTATGACGATATTTTAACAGTTAGTTGCAAGAGCAGGTCCGACTAAGTTTACAATGTATACAACTATGTTTACATTTTTGCACCTTGTCTAAAGAATTTCTGGGAGATCGTTAATGTAAATTAAAAAAGTATAGGGCCAAGGATAAAACCTAACTTAGTTATTAACGTTAACAAATCAGCAGTAAAACAAGATCAAAATCCATATTGACGATCAGAAAGCAAGTTGATAGATTCAAGATGAGAGATTAAGTGTTTGTTAAATAAAGACTCAAAAGCCTTGTCTGCAATAGTAAGAAGACTAATAGGACAATAGTTTGGCGAGTCAGATCGCTCTCCAGAATTTTTGAAAATAGGGATAATAGATGCTGCTTTTTTAGCAGGCTGGAAAACAAGACTCTGATAAGCACTTGTTAAATAGTTTTGAAAGGATAGGCGACAGCTTTGTAGAACACTCCTGTAAGACTATAACAGGTATGCTGTCCGGACCACAAACTGTAAGATTCTAATTCAGGAAATTACTTTAGATACATGAGCTGGATTGATAAGAAAGCCAGGCAATGGATTAACCTGTTTGTCGGCTATATCAAGTAGAATGTGACTAGTGGAATCAAGAGATGATATTGATGAGAAGCTCTTAGCAAACAATTTAGCATTTTCTTTATGTGAGGGGACAAAATCTGAACCATACAAGAAAGGAGGAATAGCAGATTTACCCTTATTATAGATACTGTTAAAGATTTTTCAGAAGCCACAAGAGCCTAATTTTTCAGCTTTAAGGTAGTTATAAGAGGTACCATATGATAAGGGGACTCTGATAATAAAGAAGTATGAGATGATAGAGAGATCTAACTTTGATCAGAAGCACCTAAGGGTGAATATGGAGAAATCGAGCACTGACTAGGATCAGAAACAAGACATAAGTCGAGTAGAGAAGGTAAATTGACTTGGATTGTCTAGAAAGCAAGTTGGAAAGTTGACTATTTGTGTTAGAGATTAAGAAAGGTAAAAGTTGTGGGCCATAACGCCTGCAGAATCACTGATGCTAGAGTCTAGCCATTAAGTGTAATGAAAATTAAAGTCACCAACAACAACGATATTGGCTGAAGGATAAAGAGTTGGGGCTTGGTCAATATGATCAAAAAGAGTGCAGTCTTGAGATAAAGAAGAGCAATATAGAACAAAGAGAAAGGCAATAGAGTAAAGAAGGAGCTAAACGAATAAATATATATAGCATAATAGAATAGTCAGTAGATTCAAACCTAATTTCCTGACAAATCGGTGAATTCTTACGAATGGAAATGCCCAGGCCAACCATGTGACTATTGGAATCTTTTCGAATTAAAGAAAGATAACTATCAGCGCTAAGGTCGCAAGATGAGACAGCCAAACTCAAATTAGTCTCACAAAGAGTAATTAGGTCTATTGAACTTTGCAAGAGATAAGATACAACAGAAGAAAAGTTACTTCAAAGACCATGAATATTAGTGAATTATAGGTTTAGAAAATTTGGAGGTGACAATGGTATTTTGTGTTTTATAGTTTTTTGTTACTTTAACCATTTTTAAATGTTTAAAGAACTTGACTCAAAGCACAAATATTACTCAGTACAATATTTAATAGTCCAAGCAATTGCCTTATTACTATTAAAAAACCAAAACAAAGGGCTTCAAACGTAGCCTTGACAATGCACACCAAAAGTACAAACAAGGACACCATCCATGCACAACATGGCACTGTTAATACACTAATATTTTACAGCTATTGATGGAATCAACCTCTCTGAGAGCTACAACAAGGTTAGGAAAATTGACTACAATTGACTTTTAACAACAATTTTGGGACATTAACAATTAAGCTACATTTTATTGTCATTGAAAAGTCAAAGCAATTAAATTAATGCGGAAGTACATTAAATTTTATGGTTTTTTAAAAAACCACAATAATGACTAGGAAGTGTTTTTTAATTAATAGTGTTTTTGTTTTATTAAAATATTTTTAAAACATGGGCAGAGTGTTGCTACATTGATTATGTTATAGTCTACAGCTACAAGGGAGTGTTGCTACATTGACTATCTTAGCCTGACTTTCAACGGAGTGCTGCTACATTGATTATCTTATAGCGTGACTCTCAACAGAGTGCTGCTAATTTCACTTTTTTATAGCCTGACTTGCAACAGAGTGCTGCTACATCTACTATCTTATAGCCTGACCTGCAATGGAGTGCCGCTACATCGACTGAGAGTTTGGTTAGGGCAGGCAGTCTATCATTTTAAAAATAAAATTATTCAAGTTTTTAGACTATTTCTGGTGTGGTTTATTAGTTTTCTCTTTAAAACTACAGTTTATGGAAGAAACTTTTGGACTACCATGCAAGACAAAAAACGAAACTATTTCATTCAGGATATACAAAAAAAATTATGAAAAAAATAATTTTTGAATATTCTGATGGAAAAATAAAAAATAAAAATCAAACAAGTTATTTCAAACAGCTATAACTGTTCCGTATTATTCTGTGTTATATTAAAAGATAAATAATTAGTATGTTAAAAAGCAGGCAAAATATGCATGTGTTGCAAAAGAATTTAACATAATAGTCTAGGTTTTCATTATTATTTGAAAATTTGTAAACTTATACAATAAGAACTCTTAGATAATAAAAACAATTTCTTTTTTGTATAATCACACATTTTGCTTAATTGATTGATAAACTAATTTGTCATCCTTTAAATTTGTTTAGAGTAGTGCATATTTCCCTGTATACTTCCACGTTAACTTACTGTTTTATTTTTGAAAAAAGGGGCAGTTTATTTAATATGCTAATATATAACTTTTTATTAAAAATCAAATATCTTATTTAAAACCAACAGACTGCTAATCAATTTTTATAGTTTAAATTGAGTGTCTGATATAAAGTTATCAAGTTATTCAGGATTACGATAGGTTATCAAGTTATTCAGGATTACGATAGGTTATCAAGTTATTCAGGATTACGATAGGTTATCAAGTTATTTAAGTTTACAATAGTTACTTGAATCAAGTAAAAGTGAAGAAACTGCATTTGATTATGAAATTGAAGATATTTTAGGCTAATTTATTTAATATGAATATTTATAAATAATTTATAACTATATGTATTCTTTTTGTATGATAAAAGGGAAACTATATGATTTTTTCATATTTTATTTTTTGTTTTTATACTTGCGTTATATTTGATACATTCAAATATATTATACAGCAATAAACCTGATATATAAAATAATACTGCATTTAATACCCTTCTATTGGTTCTATTCATAAAAAAATACAAAAAAGATGTTTTTTTTTCTAAATTCATAGAACATTTTTTTAAACATGCCTATATTATATAAAA